GAAGAAAAACTAGAGAGTCGCGAGTAAAAAGCTCAAGTACCGGTCCGGCGGAGAGGATTGGGCGTAGGGTGGAGAGGAGGGGGGAAGAGGATGGAGAAATAAAAGTTGGCAGTGCAAGTTGGCGCCGCTCCCAGACTTAGGAGAGAGAAAGAAGGGCGCGCGCACTGCACGGGCATGCTGTGCACAGCGGCCACGTGGGAGAGGAGGAAGGATAGACGGGCGCCGCGGCGCGCAGAGGTGACTAGCAGACTTAACGCCAGCAACAGCTGATCAGCTGAAGAGCGCAGCGGAGATCGGCGGGGGAGGAGACGATAGTGTGGACGAGACGAAGCAAATTAGTAAATTACTTCACAAAACTACTTGTTGTCAGGCTCGTGTGCGTATGTGTAACAAGCGATTAAACCAGTTTACAGTAATGATTTCACACAACTATGTTACACAACATATGAATGTACTTTCACGGACAGAGATGAAATCGTCCAGAAAGTACTTCCGTTTAACTCAGATTCATTTGGCGATAAGTTACAGGACCAGGTCGGCGCCTGTGGGACTCCGGGTAGGCCAACCCGCCGTACACACATGCATTGCAGGCAAGATGTTGCATACCTATCAGGCGCTATGAGAGCTTGCGCGCACAAGTCGAACTTGGCAGCTTCACGCTGAATGACAGGAGAACTTTCTTTAATCCCAGTGTTTGAACATAATCGTTTGCGCAGCAAAATTGATTTTGTTCCGTGGGAATTTATAAATAACTTTGTTCCCCCTAGTTTTATTTATTTGACTTGTAGACCTGTCGGGACGACACACGGGGGCCACCCGGTTTAACATAGTTTGAATTTTCGCGCCTGATGCGCAATGCTTCTTATCGCTGGACAGCACTGAAAACTGTGTAATGATGCATATCGATCACTAGGTGATGACGTGGAGTGTATTTCATTTTTTGAGGAATATTTTCTAAGTATGCCCTAGATTTACTTTTTGAAAGCACCATCTCCTTTCCTGCAAAACGTCGCCGATCAAACAAGCCTACATGTGATAAGTTTCGGGAAACAAATAACCACACTGTAAAAGACGTTAACTTGAACTTTCTTGTCCTTAGAGAGACTTTGTTTAGAATCCTGTCACACGTAGGCTCGTTTGATCGGAAATTTTTCGGGCAATTTGACTGTGCTTCGAAAATTTAATCTTGCACCGGGGCGGTTTAGTCGTTTG